CCGGCTACAATAGCTACGCGATAATCGGTCATCCCCAACCTTCGGTTTCAGGCAGCCGCTAAAGCTCTCCGAGATCACAGTTCGAGGTCGACTCAACTCTCCCGATCATACCGGAAATTGATCGGAGATCTGTGGATCATGACGACGACGGAGAAACGGGACGAAAAGGAAGAAGTGAAGACCGATGATGGATCTCCTAAAATCAAATCGAGACCAATTGTTCAGCTGGGAATTTTTCTCATCTCTCACAGTCCCGTGTTCAGGTGATGTTCTTGACCATCATTTCTCTTGTATTTCCTTTAGTTTCTTTGTTTTGACTCTTTTCTCTGCTGGTTCGTTGATGGTGTGATCGTGTTCTAGTGTGGTTTTCTCTGCCGCTGGAGTTTTGGCGCTACTGCTTTTACCGCTACTGGCGAAGAACACTTACATCTCCGAGAATGCTCTAATGCCAGGTTTTTGCATACCTCCTCCTAAAACGCAATAAAGCTCCACATTGTATTCAAGTCTCGTTGTCGATTTACAAAACAATATATGGTTACTGTTTCTAGGGTTTGGGTATCTCATAATCTCATGCTTTGGGTTTCTTATGAGAGTTGATGATAGTTAATAGAAAATGAATGTCATACAAATGATCTTATGCTTGATTCTTTACACTCGTATCTACTGGGAGTGTTAACCAAATTAGTACGAGGGTTCAAAACTGTTAAATCATGTGAGTTTATGGCTTACCAACTTCGAGTGCTTTGTTACTTGGTGTTTTACTCTCTCTTTTTTTCCTTACTCTATTCGTCAGGCTCTGCACGGTCAATGCTCTCTAATCGGGATGTTTCTGGTGGAAGCAAACTGGTGAAGGACATAAAGAATCATGAAGGCCAGGGTGTGTATGTCTTTTCTCCATTATAATTCTTCCCTTAGTTTTGCATAATATAGAGCCTTCTCCTAAGATCAGAAAAGGCAACAGAGAAAGTAACTTGTTCTTCTATTTACTTCCTTCTTCAAGTCATGAATTCCCAAATGTGCATATAGTCCAC